GTCTAATTAAAAATTGTGGAAAAGAATTGGGTAACTTTTTCTTCCCTCTCCTCCTCTCCCCGCTTTATTGAGCATCTCTCCCCGTTGTCCCCAGAACTCGTGTTTGGTCCTGCATTTGCTATTCAGCTTTTATTTTCCTGGGCTGCACTTGAATCATACATTTGCAAGGAGAGGAAACAAGCACATTCAAAAGGAGAAAATAAGAGTAGTTTTCATTTTTTTGGAAATGAATCGAATGCCTTATCCAAAGCCCATTGAATTCCATGTGAGTTTCCCCCCTGACTTCAATGGGCTTTGGTTCTGGCTTTTAGCTCTCATGAAAGGTCCTGAACTGTCTGTGCTGGGGTGACAAGGAGGCTTGGATAGACAATTACCAGAGCTCTTCTCGGCCCCTGGCACAGCCAGGTTGCTAAGGAGACTTGGCCTCAGGATGGGCCCCCGAGTTCACCCCTTCCGGGGTTATTGTCTCCTCTCCCTGCCAAGGCACTCCAGTAGCGGCAGAGCCACTCTTTCCGTCACAATACGCTCTACTTTGGCCTCTGGCAGCAGCAAATCCTGCCCTACATCTTCCCTGTTCTTGGCGAGCAGTCCTCTCTTCCCGCAGTTTTTCCATCCCTGCACCCCCTGCACTAGGGCCCGAGTGGTGGGATTGCGTTTTCTGGGTTCTGCTGGCTTGCTTTTTCAGTCCCTGTTGACCACATCTTCACCTTGTGCATTGGTCTCATGACTTTCCTGTCTCTCTCATCTCAGAGCTCCCTCTGTTTCGGCTGCAACTGCTCAACAAAAAAGAGATTGGAGGAGATAAAGCCAGGGATGGGAGAGGGATGAGTCCCTTTTGTAGCAACTGCCTGTCCAGGGACTTAAACTTCCAAAGGAGGAGTCTTAGGACCCTTGTGAAGTATGCAGACCCAGTAGTCATTTCCAGAAAGTTCTTCCAGTCTCTTCTCCCTCCATCATCTGTGGCAGGATGGCCTCCCACCCATCTCTAGGTGTCCTCCAGGGCTGGGAGCTTCCTGGGCAGCTCCTTCCATTGTGCCAGTTTTTCAGAAACTTGGAATTTTCCAGCTTTCCTGGATTCTTTGCAATTTTCTCTCTTGGAGAAAGGTATTCTGAAGTTTTAACATTAACAGGCTAAATGACAGTTTCTTCTAAGCCATTGGACAGGTCTCTTTGTCAGTCGTCTTCAGATAGCAAGTCTGTTTGCCTATAGATAAGGAACCAGAATTGCTCAAGCAATTCTGAATTCTGCTCAAGCAAAACGCTCAATCCCTGGGCACTTTTATGGTGGTGTAAAATTTAGATGTTTGTAGCCTTGAGTATGATATTCCTCACGTGAGCAATCATTTTCACTCTGCCTTTGTAGATAATTGACTCCTCAAACAGGGTTGATGTTGGGTTTGTATCTAAACAGCAAGTTGGAGAAAGAAAGCTGGTGTCTGTCTCTTAAGGTGGGATCCAGCATTAAACGTGCCTTGTCTTTAAAATTAGAAAGTTAGACTTTGAGAAGAACTAGAATAAAAATGAAAGATAACAGGTGGGGGTTTACATGTAATTATAAGTTTGGCTCAATTACTTTTAGATCAATATACAGAAAAAAATTTAAAAATTTTCTAAACATCCATTACATTTGCTTTTAAACTTCTATTACGCTTCAGTTGACCCAGGAAGGTCTGTTAAAATAAGCAGGGCATATCTATGAAAAACCTTGTAGATCTGTATGTAGTTCACTGAGTAACTAATATTTATGGTAATAAAATTAGTATCTACTACTTTATATGGTCCTTATGATGTAGTGTTTGGTACACTTGAGGACAGCTAATCTACAGGGAGATTTTCTGTATTATAGCATATGCTGTTGACTTGTTTTTGAATCATGTTAGGAATGAGAGTGAAACACTAGCATTTCAGTGGTCAAGTAGTAAAGATTTATTTCTTGAGGTTCTGATTCAATTCAATATTAATGAGCAAGGGGAATATTGAAATCAGTAAGTCTATGGAGCTATGAGATTGGTTGCCAACTTGTTTTGTACAAAGATATTTTTTGTCTGAGTTAAATAACTAGAGATGTATGTGATCACTATAGGTTAGTGATGATCCTGGTTGTTAGGTTATCTAAGGCTCTTTTTTAAAGGTAACTTTTGGCTTTTGCTAGTCTTTAGTAAAAAAGAACACACCGTTTCCATCTAATATTAGTGTAGCCAGTTGTTTGAGTGATGATTTCTGCTTACAAATGCACGGCTTGTATTTTAAATGCTAAATAGTGACATGAGATTTATGAACATGATTTTGACAGTACCTTATGCTTAAGTGGAATTCTTAGGTGTGGTTTGCAGGGATAGACAGGAAAACATCCTGAAATTACTATTTCCAAGAAATGATACTGTGCAGAATTATACTTGGTCACTTGTAATTAGTGGAAGTTTCTTCATGTTTGGTTATTTTCCCCATAATGAGTGTATTTCTTGTGGTCCTTGGACTCCAGGATTGTGATGAAGCCCCAGTGAATTTGCATCATGATGGTTACGTTGCTCTGTGCTGTTTGCCTGCCTGGGTGTAGGAATACTCCCTTCTGCCTCTAGCGGGTCCACCCCTAACCTGTATATACTCCCTTTTGCTGGAGTCAGGGAGCTGATGAACACTAACCATAACTCCATATGTTGGAGGGCAAATAGAGTTTGTTTTTTAACACATTTACCCTTAGAGAAGAAATTTCACAAATGGCTATACATACACACCTATGCATATGCACGTGCTTTATTTAATATTTTTTTAAAAGGAATTTGTGACCAAGAATGTAATAACTTTGCTTTTACTTCTTTGCTCTGCCTACTCTTTTTTGGTAGAGGAAACGTTTGACAGTCATCAATAAAAGATTAAATCATTGATGGCTATCGGGATAAACTAAACACATTTCGTGTGTTGATGCTGGCATAGTAGGAACTTTTCCAAGATGTTTCAGGCCTCATTCTCTGGTTTGTTTAAGGGCAGAGAATAAGGTCACAAAGGAAATCAAACCCTGATGTGGAGAAATGAAACATGAGGCCTACTGACTTCTAAAAACCATTTTAAATAACATTCTCTAAGGTTTCATTTTATACTGAAGGCAGCTGTAATAAGTTTTGGAAGATGGTGTAAGGTTTCTATTAAAGAGAGATTTTTTGCTTGCTGTTTTTGTACCCAAATGAAGGAGGGAGAGAGATGGAATTAGAGCTTATTTAGCATAAGGTGAGAAACTAAAAGTTCTCTCCAGAACTGTAAAAGAGTAATTTATATGTTCTACTGTAATTTACAAATTAAAAAATATTAAACTGTTCCTAGATCTTTGAAAATGACACACGTAGCCATGGAATAATTTAATAAGTGCAACACAAACGCACTTTTGCCACAAGTAAAATAAGACTGCTGCTTTGTAGTATGCTGCCAGCGTAGCCTCAGCAAGTAAATTCCCAGTAGATGTTTGCCGCATGCCAAATATATTGGACTGTATAAAGATCCCATTGTTCCATGGGCAGCATTATTTGCTATTACACTCGCAATGTTTGCTTGTGAAACAATTTATTGGAAACGAGTATGTTTAAGAAGGAACGCTTGATTTGAAATTCAGTTGATTTGGCTCATAACGTCAAAGCTTTTACAGCGTACAGCCTCTAAAAATAAATATTTAGGTCTGCTGGTTTTTGACTTATCTTCAAAAGAATTCCTGGAGCAGGGGAGAATGGACAGCTTGAGCTGGGGATGGGCAATGGGCTTTTTCACTTCTAATTCATATGTTGAAAGTATATGTAGGTCAGTATTAACTTTACATTCTTATAAAGAGAAAGGGGCAGAGTTAAGTTGGCACGAGGAGGGCGGTGAGTTCCCAGCCAGGCTGATGAAACTGCAGCTCTCAGAAGGTTTTCTGGGGAGGGTGGTATTGTCCACCCTGCTCACTGGATAATAAAGAAATTTGGTAACCAGGGTTGTCATTTTGAGGGCTTTCTCTTTTGTGATGTTTGAATGAAAAGTTTGTATGCTTTGCCCACTTGCCTTTTCCAGCAAAAACTAGGCTGTTGGTGGCCCAGGAGGCTGGGGAGCTGGGCTCGTGCCCTGCCCACCACTCAGAAGATGTCAACAGCTTTTAGTCAGGCTTAGTGAGGGTGGTGGAAGGCCACCCTGCTGTCACAGCCGAGGGCAAGGCCCCCATCGATGCTCTGCCCAAAGGCTCTGCATACTGCAGAAAATTTGGCTTTCTGGGTACCCAGAGGGTACAGGGTGCAGTCAGTGTTTCTGGTGATCTAAGTTTGACCACGAACATTTGGTAAGTGCTGAAGCAAGTCCATTGGTTGACATTAAATACTTTGCAGTTTTCTGGAGAACCCTCTATTTCCTGTGTCTTGCTCAGAATAAGAAAGAACTGGTATTTCTGCTGCTGTGTCTGGGTGAAGTAGAGAGGATCTATCATGGTAGTACTGGACAGAGTGCTTTGAAAGGTCAAGCCCTCTGGTATGGGCATCCTGCGTGGGGTGTTTCAGTGCTGAGGCTTCTGCTGCTAGTTTTGAAAAATTACTTTTGGTTTACTTTAATATGTTAATCAATTTTAAAAATTAATCAATAGTCTTTCTTCCTATTTTGTGGTGGTTTAGTCCAGTCGGAATGTTTCAAAACTCAGACATACTTATTACAATAGCTTAAAAAAAAAGAAAAAAAGATATTCTATCTAATTCTTTCTATGGACTATGAAAAATGCTTAAAGTTTTTAAGCAAGGTTTCTCCCCTCCCCCCCCCCAAATAGGGATTCTTTATCTTACAAGTGTAGTGCTCAAGTCGTCTCCTTTGAACTGCAGTTTTTGTTATACGTTTTGGCTGCAGTGTTATTTCGGAGGAGTCAGCCAACAGGCTTACAGGGCTTTTTGGCTGGAGTTCACTTACAGTTTTCTTGGCAGCTCTGCTTATTTATGCATCTTTATTCCTCTTTCTCTCTCTCTCGTGCTCTTTCTCGCTCCCCCTCCCCACCCGACCAGAGCGATCCCCGCACAGACCCATCCTCCAGGCTGGCCTCCCAGCAAACGCCTCTGCAGTCGTCGGAGGTGACGTCGAGTTTGTCTGCAAAGTCTACAGTGATGCTCAACCTCACATCCAGTGGATAAAACATGTAGAGAAGAATGGCAGTAAATACGGACCAGATGGACTGCCCTATCTCCAGGTTTTAAAGGTGAGGCTTTACAGATGCCGGCGATGGTGATGACTTCTTTAAAGCCTCCAATTTATTTGATGTAAATCCAAGAACTTTGAGAACTGAACTTCTTTTGAGAATGGAAGTGTTTATGTTACAAATGAAATAATGAGTTAGATAAACATTTGATTCTCTAATGCTAATTGTGCAGCTTATAAACACTTTTGCTCTTTTTTTTACTTCAGTGAAGTCCTTTATCTCTAAATGTTTCAGGCGTGACTTATTCAGAAAAAATGAAAACCCTCTCAAAGAACATCATTGACATTTACATTTTGATAGAGCACATCCAAAACATACCTGGGAGAATCTACTCCATTTCTTTCACATTTCTTTATTTCGAAGTAACATGGCACCTGCTGCCAAAGCCTGTTGGCAGGGTTGGATTTGCTGGATGCTGAGCCTGCAGAGATGTCAATTTTTTTGCTGGTGTGTGGTGGTGTATAGGTGGTGTCATTCCCACTGGCAGGCGTTTTGACCAAGCCTGACCAAGGAAACCCCAAAACTTTCCAAGCTCAGCATGTTGGCAGGCAGCTTTATACCATCATGTTCCATGCAGCTGGTACACCAGCCCAGGTGCTTTTCTTTTTTAAACTTTCCAAGCTCAGCATGTTGGCAGGCATCTTTATACCATCATGTTCCACGCAGCTGGTGCACCAGCCCAGGTGCTTTTTTTTTTTTTCCCCCCTGATGATGCTGTTTTCTAACTCATCATGTGATGCTTCGTCTTTAAAAAAAACACCTAACAAAGACCCCAAACAACCCCCAAACCCTCAATGTTTTGACACTGATACCTGTATGAAGTGGAAGGCATATTCTTTTGTCGTGTTGGTGGTGGGACCGTAGACAGATCGGTGTCCGTTTTGGGCAGCAGTGACGTTGTTCTCCTGTGTTATTGGTCTCTATTCTAGCATTCGGGGATAAATAGTTCCAATGCTGAAGTGCTGACACTGTACAATGTGACAGAGGCGGACGCTGGAGAATATATTTGTAAGGTCTCCAATTATATAGGGGAGGCCAACCAGTCTGCCTGGCTCTCTGTTCTGCCGAGTAAACAAGGTAACAATGTTTTTTAAAGCAAGCTGGATGTAGAAGCTGGAAAAAATGGTGCTTTGGGAGACTGCAGGCAGCTTGTAGGATAACTCTTTGGCCTTGTGGTATATGTGTAATCCTCCTTCGGTGATGCAACTGGTATTACACCAGCAGCCATGGAAAAATTCCCACAGTATTCCCTGTGTACCATAAGCACTGATTTCTGATGCTGATCTTTCCATTTTCTCTTGTGTTTGATGTCTTTGTGTCTGTGTGTTTACGTCTAGTTTTGTTGTTAATTCTGCATACTTTGCAGTTCATATATAGCATACGCATTGAATAATGCAATTACGACCTAATTAGTGTATATTTATATATATACATATGTATATATATACAAAAAGCTCACATATGTACTCACTGAAGCATAAGTCAGGTCAGTTTAGTCTTCTGTAACTTCCCTCATCACCTGTGACTGTGCAGGGTGGGAGGGTTTTCTGTTGCTGTTCACCCCTTATTAACTGGTAATAACCCATCAATAGCAATAAAAACTGGCAACAATGTGACTACAGCTCACAACTAAATTTACTTTAAAATGACCCAGTAAAAAATGTGTTTATGCCCTCATCGTGTATTTCAAAGTAACATTTTTGAATGGAAAAAGAGACAAAAAGCAGCAAACGATGGATGATTTCTCTAAATCTCCGTCATCAAGACCTTGATGCTGGTGTCCTGCTGCACCCATCTTGGGACAGCTGGAAAGTTGCAGCTCTAAGATTTACTCTGTTTGTATGAGTTTAGATAATCACTGATACGCTGATTGGTTTGGTGCATAATGACTTGTCAAGCCAGAGATTTAGCAGGTCTGGAAGGAGAACAGAATAAAAACCTTCCAGATTATTAATTTTTTTTAACTCTCTAAAATTTAGAAAAATGTATTTTATTTTCATCTCCTGGTTTTTTCAACTTTTGAGGTCCAGTTTTTCTCCACATCTCTGAGCTGCAAATGATCTATTTTGAACAAGTCCTGAGCTACCATCCTACTCTCTCCACTGTGCTTCTAAGCAAGGCACCGAATATTACCAGACTTCAGATTAAACTGAAGTTTGGCAACACTGCCCAATGTATGATATTTGACTGCAGTGCAGTGAAGGATGTAAGGACCATACACTGCTTAAGACAGCTACCAAGTTGTGTCTTTTGGAGCAGAATTTGGTCCTTTTTCTTTTTTAACCTTTGAGAGCATATTTTCATAGTAAATTCTTCCCTCTGAAACAGGTAACTACATGTGAAGGAGGCTGCATTCTGTCCTACTTTGTTTTCTCTTTGTGTTTCTTTCAACTTCCTTTTATTAAAAAAGAAGAAGAAAAAAAAAAAAAAGCCTTGTGGGTTAATTTTTCCATGTCATTTGATTGCATGCATGTTTAGGTGGTGAGTTTAGGTCTGGTGAAGGGTGTTGATTACTTTCTGAGGTGAGCTGGGACCTGTTGGTAAACGCCTTTTAGATGAGGGATTGTGGATGGGGAAGGAGCTTTGCATCTCTACACCTCTGCCTTTACAAAGTGCAAAGCCCTGTGGCTCCATCTCCCTATCCACAAGAATTCTCTCAATGTCTAGCTTTTTTTCTCTTGCTTCCCTCTTTTGTTTTTTTCTAGGCTGCCGGTGTTAACACCACGGACAAAGAAATTGAGGTTCTCTATATACGGAATGTAACTTTTGAGGATGCTGGGGAGTATACATGCTTGGCGGGTAATTCTATTGGGATATCCTTTCACACTGCATGGTTGACAGTTCTGCCAGGTATACACTGCTCTCTTTCTGTGGTTTTTCCTCTTTTTATTTTCCCCTTTGTTGATTGCTGCAGAATTAGCACGGCTTCTGTCTCAGAAAAGGATTTTTACAATGATTTACTTTAAACATGGTTGTCTCAAGCCAATGAATTGTCTTGTCATGTATTTGCAACTCCAAAAACCTAACAACAAAAAAAGGTGGGGGGAATGCCTATTGAATTCAATTGAAATATTTTTACACAACAAAAAAAGGTGGGGGGAATGCCTATTGCACTCAATTGAAATATTTTTACATCTGTTAAATGTTCACCAGAAATGCTAAGGAGCTGCATTTCCTTAGCACTTCAGTGAGAAGTCAGCACAATAATCATTGTAAACTTTTTCAAGAGGAGGAAATTCAAAGTTTCTTATGAAGCTTTGGGACTAATTTGGCCACAATTATGTACTGGCTCATCAGAATCCCTGAGCTATTTAGTGTGCTTAAATTCACATTTACCTAGTGTCCAAATCCATCCTGGAAATTCTAATTGTGATGCCAACAGACCGTGTACAGAAGCAGTGCCTTCCATATCTTGGGAATCGGCTCCGTGCATCTTTAAACATTGCATGCTCTGAGAAAACAGGTAGTCGTTTGCTTTTACTGCAAAGCATGTCTCGCTGTTCTGGGGTTGATGATGTTTCTGTCCTTAAAAGAAACAAACATCAATGCGCTTTATTGCCTGAAAATTGTTATCAGCTGTTAGAAGATGTAACTGTAGTTGGTTTTGACACTAGTCAAATTTTCTCATTTATAACTGTTGGCAGCTGCCTTAGGAGTTCCTTTGAAAAAAAAACGTGAACCACCTGAGGTTTGCTGGGTCATCTTGTGCTTACCATTTATTAATTGTTAATCCTAAGTAAAAGGTACAAAACCTGCATGTGCATATTGCTGAGGTTCACATTGTGGGAGTGAAGCGTTCCCACTTTCTGCAGATAATTTCTTACCCTTTATTAAAAAATGCTGAACGAGGCAACTTTATTACATCTCCCTCTTATGTGAACACTGAGCCTGCGTGGTCTGTCACTGAGCAGGCAAAACGAGCTTGCTTCTGCTAGCAGTGGTTGCATTTTGCAAGTGCTTGAATGGCATTTTTTATTATTTTTTTTTTAACCAATTTTCTTGAATGAGATATTTTTACAAGCCTAGAATGAGGCACAATAAAATTTTGGCTTGACCGTGCATTGCTTGCGGAGTGACCGCTGATTGCTGTGGAATGCTGTTTATCCCAGGGGGGGTTGAGTCCCAGATAAGGGATTAGGGACAGTGTTTGCACATATAACTGTCTTGAAGATAATTTCAAAAGGGTTTCAATCAGAGCAGCAGCTCTGGAGAACCACTCCCACTAAAATCTAACCTCTTAGACTGGTAACCGCGGATGAGGTTGCTTGACATAGGCAGTCCTCGCAGAAGAGGACTCATTAATTAATGTAATGCTACCAATTCAACTTTTGCTTGCCTTATGCTTTTTAATCTGATGCTGGGCTCTTCAAAGGACCTCAGGGGAGTCGGGCACCCGGCATGAACCACAGCGAGTTAAGCATCCGGGTCCTCAAAACGCTTGAAATCCCTACCCTGAATTTAGAAACATGATGAGGGACCCGTTCATCCTGCCCTCCCTCTGTATTTTGAGATCCCAGTGAAAAATTTGGATAAACAGGCAATGCAGACTCAAGCCCAAACATCTTTTTGCAAATTTAGACACTTTTCTTTTAGGCTAGTTAATTCAATATTTTATCTTTAGATATGTCTTTATGTGGTTAAAAAGAATTACAGTGCTTTTGAAGTTTGACTTGAGCAACAAAATGAACCTGATCCTAGTTTGGACACCTCAGATTTTTCTTTTCCCCTCATGTTATGCTTGATCACCCAATATTTCAAAGTATATGTATGTACCTATCTAGGCAGGCACATGTATATGTCTGTATATGTATACATGCATGCACAAACTCTCACTCAGTGGCAAACTGAGAAGTCAAAGCAGTGATCTAGAGAGAGGAATTACTCTCAGATTGCAAGATGGCCTAAACACCCACAGTATTCTGTATGTCATGCAGCCACCTTGAGAATTGTGGATATTTTACCATTTTATGTTGTTCCAAGCACTGTACTGAACTATGCTTGTACCGTGTGCTAAATCTGTGGCATGATTGTTCCCTCCTAAAAACTTCCAATCCAGCTCCTGAGAAAGAAAAAGAATACCCGACGTCTCCAGACTACGTGGAAATAGCAATTTACTGCATAGGGGTCTTCTTAATTATCTGCATGGTGCTGACTGTCATCCTGTGTCGCATGAAGAACACCACCAAGAAGCCGGATTTCAGCAGCCAGCCCGCTGTCCATAAGCTGACAAAACGAATCCCTCTGCGCAGACAGGTAACAGAAAGTAGATAAAGAGTTAAAAAAACCTTTTACCAAACCACCAAGCCAGCCCGTCCTTCCCCTGAATGCTTTGGCAAGGGGAATAAATAAGCATTAAACCAAATAGCAGTAGGGGTGGGATTTAATCCGGCACCTGGGGAGACCGGCATGGGAGGAAGAAAGTGCGTCTTGACACAGCAGTGTGTGTCTAGAGGCAAGGAAATTAGGGCAGGGATTTCAGAGGAGAAATGTGAAAAATGGAATATGGTCTGTATAGGGGGGAAAAAAAAAATGTATTTGAAGTATTTTGGGGCCTGATCCCACAGCTCGTTGAAGTCAATGGAAAAATTTTTACTGACTTAATGGACTTTGGAAAGGAATCCTATTTAATTGCGTATTTATAATGTTTCTAAGGTGACTATTATTGCAGTAACTAAGTACCAGATACAGAGAGGTATTTTCCAGGAAGAATTTTGAAGACTGAGGGGAGGGAATTTCATAGCCAAGCATCCTGAACCACCCCAAAATAGAAAAAAGACTGTAATAAAGTAAAAATAGGGGAGATACTACATCAGGTCTTGAACAGTTTGATTAAGATGCTGATGCTTTTGAGTGAGGAACAAAAGCAAATGCCAGATTTAGAATGCACACAACAGCATCACATAAAATATATTTCACAATAGCTTGTGGCTGGCAACGGGTGTTTCTGGAGAGGGCAATACCACAAGCAGCAAACCAGTTGAACATGTAACAGGCCTTTGGCTTTGTCAGAGGCCATCGCTTGCCAAAATAACCTTCATTCCCACATACTACCCTCTCCTGAAAGACTTGTTTCTTTTGAAGCTGGAGTTTAACATGTTGTGATTTTTTTTTTTTTTTTTTCCTTGCAGTAGGTCTTCAGGGTAGACCTCTAAATCCATCAAATTCCTCCCCCCATCCAGGTTTCAGCCCAGGGAGGTGGAGGGGTGTTGGCATCTGAGGCTTTGGTTCACCTTGTTATTCACAATTGGGACCATCTGCAGGGGTTGGATCCAGGGGTTTGGATCTGAGGGTTTAGATCAGGTTCCATCTGCACCACGAACAGGTTTCACAGAACTTCTGCAGGTTGTTTCTACAACCTGTCCAGAATATTATAACTACCAGTGATACACGTAGCTTAAAAATCGTTCTTCGGTGTAAGTGAAATTTTAGAGGTGCAATCGATCAGAGTTAGGGTAGGGCTTGGTCTTGGGATTTGGGGCATTATTACTTTTTTCTGAACCCTTTTTTCAGGGTTTGTGAATCTCCTTGGTTAGAAATGCTGCAGAGAAATCCCCCTGGTAATGCTTTAGCCATCTTCCTCTAAAGTGCAGTATTTTACAAAATCTTGAGGTGGGGGGGCGTGAACTCTGATCTGAAAAATACTCGGTTTGTTTTATGAACAAAAATGTTAATTCTTATTCTGTCTGACTTGGCTAATTCTGGGGGGCTTTGTTGTAATTTTATGATTTTATTCATTTGTTTGAAGAGCACTGGGAAAGAGAGGGACTTTTAACTCAGTATATGAGAGAGACTGATGAGAAGCCCTCAGTTCAATTTACACATCACTGTGGCTAAAATTCTGTGCAGCTTTCTAGACAAAGAAAATGCTTTTCAAGTGTTGTGTACCAAACCAGAGAGAGATACATATCAGCTGCTTAGATAAAAGACATCTATTAGATTTCTGCCTGAATATAAAAACATCGTAATGACTCAGAGATAAGTTGACGGCATAAAAAATACCTAAGGTTTGGTGTGAGCTCAGTTGTGTCAGTTGGAAATGGCTCCTCAGGAGGACAGTGTTATTTCATTGCGTGTGACAGCAGTGCCAACCACTGCCCTCAGTTCAGTTATTTATCATTAAATGATGCAATATGGACCTTCTCCAAAGCTATTGTTTTCACAGAGGGGAAAAAAAAAAAATCTCTGTCTTATAACATGCTTGTCAGATCAGGTTTTATCAGTTTATTTTAGTTTTCTACCCTAGATTTTCTTAGCAAAAATAGCATTTTGCTTTTAAAAGTGGGGAATAATTTTTTGAAAAACAGTATATATTTAAAAGTGTGAATCCTGTTTCAACCCTGAAGCAAAAATTCCACTACTTTCCAGTCTCTCGAGTGCTTTTTTTATTAACAGGATTTTCTCACTGAAGGGCTCTCTGCTTTCATACCTTCATAGACGAGAGTATAACTAATATAAGTGTTAAAAGAAATTTATATTTCTGTTTTGATGACTTCACTGGTCATTTCAGTAATTGTTTGTAGTAGCTTGCAAGGCAGGATGACATGAGTGGTCCCTGAAGACTTGCTCATACACAGTGAAGATTCCTTAATTTTTCAGTTGGCATCTCCTTGGTCTTTAAGGCTGCAGCAGTTGTCCAGTTTCTGCAGCTTTTAAAGCTGGTTTTGGATTTCAGAATCATTGTTGCAAATCAAGAATCAAAAAATAAGTCAGGAGGTGTTTTATTTAATGGGTGTGTGTTTCTGGATTATTCGACTCTGTTTTGTTCTACCGCCAGGCTTACCTTTGTGTTTCAGTTTATTTGTATGTCAGAGGACTGTATTTAAAGCCTGGTGGGGTTTTGTCACTAAACTTCTATTTATCTGTTGAATGAAGATTCTCCCTTGACTTTGTGCTGTGCATGGGAGGAATAAAGACAGTGGCCAAGTTGTGGAGAGGATGGGTGAGAGCGGGCAGGGGAGATGCTCATGGCAGGTATAGACTGTGAGAGCCAGGCAGGGATCTGGGGCTGGGTGCTGGGATTTGTTGGAATTCCAGAGGAATGAGGCCATAGATTGGGGAATTCTTGATATTGTTTTCGAAGCTCTCTGCTGCTGGGTCAAGCTCCCTAAGGATCTGGAGATGAAAATAATCCTGGTTTACGAAGAGGCATTTGCATGGCTGTGATGCCATCTTGTCTGAGCAGGATAAGAGTCTTGCTGAGTAACATATGGTTTGGTTTGCAGGCCTGGATCCTCCTACACTATTTAGTCTGAGCTACTACAGGATTTTATCATTCCCCACATGCAGGCATTTTTTTCCTGCCAAAATGCGGTTCTTTTCACATTCGTAGGAAGGGTCATGACGAAGTCAGGAATTATCAGTTCCCTCCCCCTACAATCCTCAGCCTCACTAGGATCTGGTACCAGGTTTTGGAAATGGAAACTGCTTACAGGGAAATCCAGCAAACGGCTCCCCTTCTTAACATAAAAGCAGAGCCCTGCAGTGCTCTGTAGGTATTAGCCATGTTCTGCGTGGCAGCCCCAGCTCACAAGGGAGGGGGAAGAAGTATTTGTAGGATTGACCATCACAAACCAATTTGCAGCGTAGGCTTTAGGTGACAGGTTCACTGAATCAAAAGGTAAAGAGTAGCCTTTGATAGGATATTGCATCTGTTTTGTAGAACCTTTGTTTTTCTTTTAACAGGCAAAAAGACAGTGCTGCTCTAGTGATTATAGGAGGTCTCATCTCTTGTGACTTGCCCAGTCAAATTCGTGTACAAGTTTTTTTCATCACTACAGCATTTCATTAGGGCTACCACAGTTAATGTATCAAATTTGGACCCCCTCACCTTGGATGTATATATGTGTTTTAAATCAGGGAGGGCTGATTTCTTATGCTTAGTATTTTAAATACATTCCCATTATTTTATATCTGCTGTTTATATACTTTAATAAGTATTTTAGTTTCTTGTGTTATCCTTGAATTTCTGTAGATGGAATCTGTTGACTTCCCTAGTAGGATTTGTTTGCTATTTTGTTGTATAAGTGTTTCAAAAGGAGCACTTTTCTTGAAGGAGCTGTGCTTGTGTTTAAAACGCCAGTACTTATGTTAGGAATCCCCAGTTTCATGTATTTAACCATGCATTTATTTATCATATTTATCATATTTTCCTAGATCCAGTCACTCAGAAGGACCGTTTCTATCAACAGCTAATAGCATTACTTACTTATTATATTTATATACACATATGCATATGACTTCAAATTAACTTTTATAGCAGAGCCTTCAAAAAGACTGACAAATCACTGCGTGGCTGCTAAAATCTCGCAGCATGAGTGCCAGAACTGACAGATCTAGGCTTTGGGATATGGTATAAATCATCAGTGGAGGAAAACACCCTTCATAATCAATTACAGACAATTACACACTGCTCTGCAGCTGATTCTGCCACATGGCATTTAAAGATTCCAGCAAAGATTTGCTTGTTTTAAATGTTCCACTGCTTAGAAATGCTTGCAAAGCATTATCTCAGAGCTGATTAAATACAGTGTTGGCCAAAGGAAAAACATGTTGTTAAAATGGGGATATAATAATGCATTGGTGCATGAAGTTTGAGCACAGTGGGCTTTTTTCCTTCTGAAGTGCAAATATGGAGCTAAAGTTCTACCTGAGGCTGGTACTTTTCCTTGGTTATGGCCTCCTAAAAGCAGAAAAGAAGCACAAAAAAATATTTTATGGTAGGGATCTACCGTCCTGTTGAGGTTAAATTATATCACAATAGTCCTTTTGGTCTTCTGCTCAAGTCAAGCTGACTTCTGCCTTCCTGGCTTTAATTAAACACTCAAAGTGCCTCCTTAGTGTCATGTCATCATTGAAAATAGGCATCACCAACACAGTGAGTAGACCTTGAAGATTTACAATTCACGTACATCAGGTGCCCTCCCTTGTGTCTCTGTCCTGACTCTATTTTGTTACTTTATCTCTCAGAAGCCCACGTTGGTGAGTTGGGTGATTGCCCAAGAAGCTCATGTATTTTGACAAGGTGTCCAGCTGCTGCTTCTTGGCACCTGGTAAACCCAAAAGTGGCCCTGAAGTCTGTATATTGGCCATGTGCACTTACAAGCTTGCTGCAAAAACTCAACCTGGCCTCTGTTATGCCTGTGTTCTATGTACCTTGAATGTTTGCATAACTGAAAGCAAAAAGAGCATCCACGTACTTGAAAGCAGCTCCACATGCTGAAATATAGGGTCCACGGCAGGAGTGTCACTGGTTCTTGAACCTGCATGGTAACAGGTTGGAGAGAGCAAGGCTGCAAGTAGCAAACTGGAAAAAGGCTTTCTATATGCTGTTACTTAAATGTATACATGTAGATTAAAGTTGACCATGTCTACTGACCTTGAAGTAGGTAGGGTTTTCCTCATTGTTTTATAGTGCACTCTAAGGCAATAAAAAAAGATGCTTAAGGGATGAGTTCAAAGGTTAATTCTTTACTATTGCAGAAAAGGTGAAAGGCCATTTTGAAACAGAAGTTCTCCTCCAACCATGGGCCAGCCTGGGTTGGCTTCATCTTTTCTGGACCAGATTTTTATAGCCCTTGAGCTCTTGTAACTCCTTGTGCTGCTCAAGTTAATCAATCAGAAGAATATTCCCTGGGAGTACAGTCCATTTTTCTTCTCCCAGACACTGAGTAGTTCCTCTGGATTTCTCATCATTCCTATCCTCGTTAATGCGCTTTGGTTACTTATGGCATCTCTGGCCAATCATCCAGTTATCGTGTGAAGTAAACATGTGCAATTGTGTTAAAAGGGAAATTGGCAGAGTCTTTCATCTGCTTTTTCTATGCATTATTACTATTTAACTTCAGTGTTTGAAATGCATCACCAGAGTATTTCAGTTTATTGCCAGTTTACATTTATAGGTTTGAACCATGCTAAGACTGCTGAATTGTGAGTGTAAGAGCTAGTGAGAAGATGGAACTCTGGCAGAGATCTGAACAGTATCTAATGCAAATATGGTATTAGTTGGGGGGAAAAAAAAAGTCCCTTATGTTTCAGAAATATTCCAAAATGTTCTGGGGTCTATCTAAATTTTGCAGCTTCACTTCTATGGCTTCTTGCTATCCCAAGAAAACAATGGCTATAATGACAAAGAAAAATGAGAAAGTAAAGGCAACATGAATAAATAAATTGATAAATAAATCAGGACTTGAATAAAGATCTTGGTGGAATGGTTGGTGGGTGGATTTTGGAAAAGACCTTAAGATCATTGAGTCCAGCTGTTAACCTAGCATTGCCAAGTCCACTGCTAAACCATGTATTTAAGCTTCTACATGTCTTAAGATCATTGAGTCCAGCTGTTAACCTAGCATTGCCAAGTCCAAGGGGGGACCATGTATTTAAGCTTCTACATGTCTTCTACAAGTCTTCTAAATACCTCCAGGGATGGTGACTCCACCACTTCACTGGGCAGCCTGTTCCAAGGCTTTTCAACCCTTTTGGTGAAATTTTTTTCCTAATATCCATCCTAAACCTCCCCTGGCACAACTTGAGGCCATTTCCTCTTGTCCTATCGCCTGTTACTTGGGAGAAGAAACCGACCCTGCCTCGCTGCACCCTCCTTTCAGGGAGTTGTAGAGAGTGAGAAAGTCTCCCCTCAGCCTCCTTCTCTCCAGGCTGAACACCCCCAGCTCCCTCAGCCGCTCCTCATAAGACTTATGCTCCAGACTCCTCACCAGATTTGTTGCTCGTCTCTGGACTTGCTCCAGCACCTCAACATCTTTCTTGTAGTGAGAGCTCTGTAGTATGTCTTAATAGTAGTTTTCTGTTTATATCCCAAGTGGTCACCATATTTATTAGGCTAGAGGAATGTGCCAGGTACTTATATGTGCTGAAAGTAAATATAAACATTAACAACGGTTGGATGGACAAGGAGGAAAACAGTCTCCCTCTCTTATTTGAACAAGTAGCCCTATTTGTGCAGTTATACCCTCTTGTTCCACAGATGCTACACCTCCAACGCAGAAGCTGGAGCTTCTGATGCTGAGAAAGGTTTGTTAGTCAGCTGCAAAACCAATTACTAAGATTATTTTTTTGATAGCAGTCCTTAACGTTTTCTTCCTTATGAAACCTCTTTCCAGTCTTTATCTCTGGTCCTAGAAAAATGTGTTGAGAAGCCAACTCAAAGATGAGATGGGTTTGAGGATGTCGACCTGCAAAAAGACCTCTCAAACAAAACAGGTTGTCAGAATCATGATGAGAAATTCATTTGAGCACCTTAGTATTGTCATATCAAAATACGTTGTGTAAGAGCATGACGTGGCTGCAAAAGCCTTTCAGCCCCATTCTGATGAGCTCAAGTAATTCCGAGGGCTGGGACACTGTAATTGTTAATTGGACTTGAAATAAGGGAGCACTAAGTTGCACTTAACAGGTGTCAGAGGGACAAGAGGATTTTGTGTTCATATCCCTGTATGTTGCTGATTTGCACTCTAATGCTATTAGGATATATTTGCTTTTAATTGCTTTTTTTATCTAGTTGTAAAAAGTCTGGAACAAAAGTGTACCCTGGTGGTACTTTACATAAGCAAACTTGGTGTCAAAGTTAACTCAAGGTGATGAGGACAAAGGCCAAGAGTGGTAGTTACTCTACTCGGATGCTCTAGGCTTTCAGCGTGGGGATGGTTGTAAAAAGTCTGGAACAAAAGTGTACCCTGGTGGTACTTTACATAAGCAAACTTGGTGTCAAAGTTAACTCAAGGTGATGAGGACAAAGGCCAAGAGTGGTAGTTACTGGGATGTTCTAGGCTTTCAGCGTGGGGATGCGTTAACTCCAGGTGATGAGGACAAAGGCCAAGAGTGGTAGTTACTCTACTCGGATGCTCTAGGCTTTCAGCGTGGGGATGGTCCGAACAATGCTGGCCAAGAAGAATCTCCTGCCACCTGATGTGAGGACAGGTACCAGCGATGGCATTGTGAAAGAACCTTCATCCTGCCTTGGCCACCAGATTTGGGCTTGGCCAGCACTGTGACAGCCTGAATAGAAGAGGATTCACATTTAAAGGAGGAGACAGAGTGGCAATACAAGGGGTTTTGTTTGGTGTTGCTATTCACTTAAAACTCCGAGGTCAGCAGAGAAGCAGGCTGCTGCTTGCAGGTTTGAGGAAAGAGCCTTATGGAAGATGCACCGTTCACACCAAGACAAGTTTTGTAACGTGGATGGAGTGTGTTTTGGTGTTGAGGCTGATGAGAAATCATACTCCAAAGTAAATTACATTTCAAAGCATTGGACATGAAATAATTTTTATGAGCTCTTCTCCACATTACCTGTGAAATCTTTAATTAAGAATGTAGTTAACTGAAAACTTTAATATCCCCCAATTATTGTCACACTTTTTTGATGCTTTCAATATTGAATGCTTAGAAAATACGTGAGAAAATCCAGCATTTCCTACACAGTAATAGGCATGTGACCTTGATCATTGGTGCTGATGAAAAGTATGTGAGCTATTGAAAAATTAACATTTTTCAATTAAAAATTAAAGATTTCAATTTAATAGTAGCACCAAAAAATAATAAATTGTCTGCTGATTTGGGAAAAGAAGTGGTAACATGGACAACTAGAAATGAGTGGAAAAAGAGAGCTTATTGGTAACCTCTGCTCATGGTATAAGCTGCCCACACAGGTATCTGAGTGTGGTGATATAAATACTCTCAGTTGATTTAAAAAAAAATATTAATTTGATATAGAAGAAGAGGGGAAAGTTTATTTAATTTATCTTCTGAGTGAAGGTATTTTAAAACTTAAATGGTTTTTCACCTATGGAACAGACTTACAGCCTTGGCAGCAATCAGAGTCAGTGTTGTGTTTAAAGGGAGGGTAACTGGGTGAGAACAGTGCACTAGAAACAGGACCCACTTTTTCCTAATACCACTGTTCTGAGCTGGCTTGGTTAGCAGGACCTGCTGTTTTTCGGTTATTGGGTCAAGATTACATCTCTGTCTTTTTTTTCTTCTTTCCTTTTCTGCATCTTGCATTGCAAAACCAGGTGTCAGCCGACTCGAGCTCCTCCATGAATTCCAACACGCCGCTGGTGAGGATAACGACTCGCCTCTCCTCCACCGCCGATGCCCCCATGCTGGCTGGAGTCTCAGAGTACGAATTGCCAGAAGACCCCAAATGGGAATTTCCAAGAGATAAGTATGTATCCTGTTTCCCTTAGCACTACCTACCCGTGTCTGAAAAACATGGCATAGTATGAGAGAAAACATCTTTCCCAGTGTCTCCCAGTTTCTTTACTTAAACGAAACCCTCAATTCTGTGAAACTCTGAAGATGAAGATCCAATTCGATTATCTGAAATCAGTTTTTTTTTTAAATAGAAGCTGCCTGTCACTCTGGTTTTATGTTCAGATTTCGGGTATATTTTCAGACACCCTGCTGAAAAGCAACTCCTCCATAATGGAAGGAGTGAATCTGAAATGTTATTTCAAAATAGATATGATTTATCCTGGGAGAGATGTTCACATACAAATATTGTTGAGGGGCATTTGAGATTTCCCCAAGTAATACCTCTGAACTTTAAACCATGTTTTTTAGTTGAAATATTAAACTTGATTGTTTAATATTTATAAAATAGGTAATAAAATATCATGTAGAAGATAGAGAAAGTCTAGAATATTGTATTAGACAATCTCTTCTTTCTGTCAGGACCTTCTGGGTAGGATTTTATGTTGGTTTTATAGCAGCCTGTATTAATGGAGATTATGGGTTTTGAGTTAGTGGTACATTTTGCATATTGTGTACATATATATGCAACTTGTGTGGCTTAAAAGTATTAGGTTTCAAGCAGAGCGTATTGAATCTTGATATATGTAAATTCATATGGCTACATAATATTTTCTTCAAAGCCTGTTGACTAATGTACAAAATGAGCTGCTGAATAGTCTAATTAAAACTGTAACTATATTTATATTTCTTAATATAAAAAAGACATGTAAAAGACAGAGAATATTAACACAGGTAGAACCATGATTATATATATTAAAGTTAGCACTAACTCTAAGAAGTCTTCAGGTGGCCTTGAGAAAATAACACCTTTTATCATGAACAGTTCTTTTAAAGTTCAGCGTCGAAACTTTTGGATAGAGGAGCTGTAATTTTGAACTTTCTGACAACTGTTCTGGAAATTATTTTAATGATGTAGCTGAAAACTAGTGCAAAATGCTGTAATTGCCACCTGCAGTATTCTAGTCAACAGTGGGGGCCTGTATATGTACTTCTGTCAGCCCGTACCCTGGGGGGATACACTAAATGCGGAAAATTTTAGTGCGCTAAACATTTAAACCCAGCATTCAGCACAAATGTAGGTGGAGCAGATTTGCAATGAAAGGAGGCTATTTAGAGGCGGTTTATTAGGTTGGGGGGCAGGAGGCACACAATGAGGGGTTTGTTACTCTAGTCCTAGCAGGGCAATAGCACATAAATTAACCGGTTTCCAATGCAAATGTTTGTTCTCTGCCAAGATCCTAAATTCAATTTTAGTTCTGGAGAAAACGCAGGATGACCTCAGCATAGCGTACGCTGCCCTTCAGTCTTTGCACCTTTTTAAACTCGCCTTTGCTTTAGAAACCAATCCCAAACAGCTCGAGGAATTCTCACCCAGGCAAAGACCGCGTTTGACAAGGACTCTGCCCTCAGGAGGAGCCACCTCTCGCTTCTGGCTTGTGCCTGAGCAGATCAGCGGGGTTTTCAAACTGCTCAGCCCTGGGCTGACACTCTTCTCTTGATGATATGACAACCTCTCCCTGTATTTCACGCTGGAAGACACAAGTCCGTGCTTTGAAGAACAAGTCCCTGCATATATCTTATCTGTGAATCCTGCTTTTTGACCATGGAAAGCTTGCTTATGAAAATGCTTGTCTGAATCTGGCCCCTACACTGGGTAACATTAACAACATCAAAGTCGCTGAAAACCCTCCCTGATTTCTTCCATGGCACTGCTTCTGGACATTAGATGATGTTCTCTGCCAGTAAAGGAGCCCAAATCTGGCCCTGGAGTGCGCTGAGGTTGGAACCAGAAAGATTTTGCTCACAGACATTCCTTTTTTATTTTCTCTCTTTATCCTCCTAAAGTTGAGATAGACATCTCTGTGTCCGGCTGTTATAGATGAGCAGTTTTGCAACCAGGTGCTTGCCCCAAAAAATGTACTTTGCACAGCCCATTTAACAACTCCTCTTTTTAAAAGGTTTCTTACATTGATGCTGTTACTACAACGGAGTTTTAGTTTCCCCCCCTCTCCGAGCAGAGCCCGGGTGCTGCAGACAGGAGGCATCTGCTGTGACCCTCACACATGACACTTGTGGCAGCCAAGAGCCCCTAGCCAAGAGTCAGCATCTGTGCTAGACCCAGCTGGGGGTAAATAAGGCGTCCCGTCTCGCCCCTTGAAGGATCAAAGAGCCAAGGAATGTATGGGGATGTCAGAAGAACGAGGCTGTGGAAGAAGGTGGCTGGCAGGGGATGCTGAGCCCGCCAACTGCTGTGTCCCATGGGGGTGATGCCTTTGTGCTGCTGCTGGTCGAGCATTGCCTTGGCTGAGCCACATCGGATCAAGCAGCAGAAATGTGGGGCTGGTGGCCGTGGTGGCTCCTGGCCACCATCCCCGGTGCCTTCACCCAGGCTTTTGCAGCAATAAACCCTCCTTTCCCCTCCCTTTCTCTCTAATTCATCCTCTCTTCTCTCCCCCCCAAGAAGGCGGCTGTCTGGCCGCCTCATCAGCCACGCAAAAAGAGAAATGGGTGTGATAATTACCCACAGCTGCACCCAAACGGTGTCTACTGACTTGCCGGCTCTGTCCTGTCTAATCCCTTCGGCACAAGAGAACATTAGGCAAATGTTCACAGCCCACAGCCCCAGACAGAAAGCAAGAATATGAATTTTGAGCTACAATTAAGCTGCCGGAGAGCACATTCGATTTCCCTTTCTGTTTGCACTGTGCCGTTATATCACGGGAGTTAATAACATTTAAAACATCCCCCTGCTCTTAATACCACTCGGATTATGGGCTGCTTGAAAGCGACCACAGGGCAGCACACGGAAAGAAACTTTTCTTTCATCCCCTCGCAATCAAGGTGGAAATGATGATGACCGTCTGTGTTACAGTGACAGGAGAAGCTTGTGTCTTGCTGGCTGCTCCCGAATTTCAGCCCCACTCTGACGTTTTTGGAAAGCTCTGCCCCTCCAGGCTGTGTCTCACCTCTAGCCATCGGGTATGGCCTCTTGTTACAAGGAGGTGGAGAGCTTAAAAGCTGGATTTAGCAGCAGATCTGCCCTTCTGATACTTGCTATACCATCCCTAAGAAAGCACGCTGCGGCGTGCGTGAAAACCGTGGATTTAGCAGCAGATCTGCCCTTCTGATACTTGCTATACCATCCCTAAGAAAACACGCTGAGCGTGCGTGAAAACCAATGCGCGCCCAGAGTCTCATTAGTTCCATGTGATAAACGCTTCGTGCTACAGCGAGTTGTTGAAAGCTTTTTTTTTTAATATATAATATTTAGCCCTGGAATTTCACTGGCTGCATCCATCCCTTCACCAGATGCTGTGTGTTAATCTCCTGTTTACACCTCCAGGCTGACGCTGGGTAAACCCCTGGGAGAAGGTTGCTTTGGGCAAGTCGTCATGGCCGAAGCGGTGGGGATTGACAAAGACAGGCCAAAAGAAGCGGTGACCGTGGCGGTGAAGATGTTGAAAGGTAAGAAAATTGGGTGATTAGGGATCAGAATGGGCGATATGGCAGTTCTTATCCACGAAAAGTTTATTTTGTGGCATCTGAACTCTGTCATCGTTGGAGGGGTCAAAGAGCACATAGCTGACCTCAGCCTTCAGCAGTTTGGGGTGTAAATCTGTGCCCTTGACAGCCTGTTTATCTTGAGCTATGAGTATTTAAGAGCCAGGAGACGTATTAGCATCGTGTGGGTCTCTCTGCTTTTAGTTTACTTCATGTCAGAGGCTGTCCATGTGTAGATCCTAGCCCATTCAGTCCAGGTGGTTGGTGCCTATTTATTTTGAATTTAATTGTAAGGCTAGTTTGTAGGAAAGGCACAGTTATTGGAGGTTTGATAGCTGAGGACAGCATTTTTATGTCTGATATTACTGTGTTGCCTCTTACAAATAAGACTGAAGAGATGGTCAGTCTATCAAAGAGGTTGGAGACTATTTTTTGTTAGGGCATAACATATGGCTTTGTATAAACATGCAGTGTATACTGGAAAGGAAATCCCATATTCTGCCTTTTGAAGCATGTTTTAGTGAAGTTTGGGCTGGCATGCTAGAAAATGTGACCTGAACTTGTGTCTTGTACAGATGATGCTACAGAAAAAGATCTATCCGACCTGGTGTCGGAGATGGAGATGATGAAGATGATTGGGAAGCATAAAAATATCATCAATCTTCTGGGAGCCTGTACCCAGGATGGTGAGTAGAGAAAAGAACGTAAACCAGGACTTTCCAACAGGTCTCTGAAAGTCTCATTAATCATGATTTTTTCAAGAGTTTTTAAGGAAGCAGTCATGCCGTGATGGGATTTTTAGATATTTCCCTAGCTTAGCAGCAATATTTTAGCTTCTGTCTCTCATTATACTTGCAGCTTTAATATGAGAAAGGGTACTATATCATACGAAAACTCTCTAATCCCTTGCTGTAGAGAAAAAAAGACATTTTAAAGGGGCTTTACCCATGCCTGTTGTTCTGAATTGTCAGTCCTGCTTTAGCGGAACCTGTATCCCATGAAATTGAAATAAGCACTTTACCCTCTAAAGACCACAGTGTTTTTATTAAAAGCTAATTATGTCATGTAAAGTGATGCAGAATGGCATAAACCTCTGGAAATTAAAAATCTTAAGAAGCACTTTGCCCTTGTTTGAGATCTTATGGCATTTTTTGATGGAAAGTGCTTGCTTCTCAGTAAATGGCGTGGAGGGAATAGGCACTGGGTCAGGGTTTAGGTCCTTTCAGCCATTAATTGTAGCTCTGCCACTATCCTGCTGGGGAGCTTTGGGACAGTCACTTTGCCAAGTCCAGACCTCTTTTTCTTTCAAGTTGCGCTTACTGGTTTCACAGTTAAACATTTATTAATTCAGTTCATTTATTATAGAACACTGAAAGCCTCTTTATATCAAAACATTTTCCCTTTCGACCTTATTCCAGTTTTCACATGATGGTTCTGTTTATCCAAAGGTCCTTTGTACGTGATAGTGGAATATGCTTCCAAAGGAAACCTGCGTGAGTACCTGCGAGCACGCCGCCCCCCGGGGATGGAGTATTCCTTTGATATTAACAGGGTACCAGAGGAGCAGATGACATTCAAGGACTTGGTGTCATGCACATACCAGCTGGCAAGAGGCATGGAGTACCTGGCTTCACAAAAAGTAGGTAGAACTCAGCAAATACTGCACAAAGCACATGCTGCCTGTTTGTTTTGCTCTTTTTTTGGTTTAGTTTTGTTCTCATCTTGTTTGCGTTCAAGAATTTGGGAGAAGGACCTTTCCCACACGGGTTGCATAATCCATACTCTTGAAAATCGGTGGGAAAATTCATAAAGTTTTTAATCACCATTTAATGACATTGCTAAAATGAGGCCCAGAATGGATCATTTAAAGTAAATATTGAATTCATAAGCACAGGTGGTCACTTGATTACACAAGTCACATTACTCCACCCATGAGACAGCAGGCACCGTTTGCCTTCTGTTTCCAGTCAAATCGACCAAATCAGCTCACGTAGTGATGAGAAATAATTTGATTCTGTTAGCGAAAGGATTTACGGAATGATAACAGGCAGAGTGGAGAAGACCACAAGATGCCAGGGCAAAAATTTTAAACAGAAAAGGCAAAAATAAGTGGAGTGAATTAGTCACTGTAAAATTATGCACTTCACTTAAAACTGGTGTTTGTCAGAAGACCAAGCTTGTTGAAAGAATTTATTTATCCTCCCCTGTCCCTGGACACTTACTTCTTCAACTTTTCTTCAAATATTTTTTTAAAACCAGTAATTTGATTAAATTACAGTTATGAAACCTTAAATAGCCCTGTGTAACTAAGCCTGTAAACACGCTGTGGCTTGGTGGACAAAGGATCATGAATACCCTGGGTGGTGTTTGGCCCCGATGGCTAAACCAGAGCACCCGATATTGATAAGCATTTCCTGCAAGGTGTGGTGTGGTTCGTGGGATTTATACTGATTTCCAGTTGTGTCCACTCCCAAATATGGAGCTTGTTTTTAACCAAAGAGCAGAGCTGAGTGTAAACCTCCACTCCTTTTTCACAGAGTCATGATTCTTTTATAGCTTTTCTGGACTTCTAGAGGTTGGCGGGGGAATAGAGGTCTAATTTTGCTTTTATTCTTTTGTTTTGAAACAGTAATTCTTACCATAGTAGAGTGTGACATGCATGACACCAAGACAAAATCTTCCTAATGGAGTATGCATGAGTATTGTATTAGGTAAAGCACCTTAGGATATCTCTTTCTAAGATTAATGAAACATTTGCCTGGCAAGGAGCCGTGTCCCAAGAAATAGAACTGTTGTGAAAGGAAAAAAAAAAAAAAAGAAATCTTTTGGTTGGCAAACCTTGAGAACCAGTGTCCGCCTGAGAAGCTCTGAGCTCTGAAGCTCTTGACACTGCCAAGAAGGTGTGTGAGCTCACACAACACGGCAGAGCCATTTCATCCATGATCCAGGTCCTTCGCAAAAACACTGGGTCAGCGCTGCGCTGAACTTGACAGAGAGTGAGGCGTTGCACAAGGCAGAGGGAAAACAAAGGCAGCACATAGTAAAACTGCGCATTCCGGTTCTTCAGATATCCCACCATTTCTGTTTGTATTTCACTACTACTTTTCCCCTTAGGGATCCGTTTATTGAGCTGGAATAATAAGAGAGCTGGGCTTCTCATGGTATTTCCATCGTGCAGGAACTGTGAGAAGGCCAGTGTTCTTGTTATTTCAATCCAATTAATGGCTCACTGAGACCTCAAAAAAGAAAGAAAAAAAAAAAGAATTACGTAAAGAAGATTTTGGGCATCTATTTTTTGCCTTACATGAAGTTTTTGCCTTACAAGCAACTGTGTATTGGAAATGGGATGTTGTTTCTAAGTTGGATGGATGCTTTTCAAAATTCTGTTGGCGTGTCCTCTCCATTGCTCCAGTACTGTGCAAGAACCTCAGGGGAGCTGCAGATACGAGGACTGGCCCAGATCACTCCAAAGAGACCAGAGGGCTGGCTCTGAAACCTGTCACAGAGGGAAATCAGTAATGGCAGCATTTTGAAGATGGGAAGAGTCTCAGTTGTAAAACTGTAGGGTATGAGAAAACAGAAATATGCTGCCAGAAGGTGCCAGGGTTTGAATCACTTGGTGTATTCACCCAGAAGTGTTACATGCTGTTTGAGATGCTCTGTGGTACCCCCAGCCTGCTGCTCTGGAAAGGCTTGGATCTGCTGTAGGTCCTGCATTGTCCCTGGTAGTTTCATCCAGACACCTTAGATATCACAGCACATCTCAGATGACAACGTGTACTTCTGTTTGGGCAACTGAATTGAGTTCCTGATGTCTCGGAGGATGTTCTTTGCAGGGTTTGAGCACAGGGACAGGGAAGCAGGAAGGTTGGCCTATGTTGCTTCTGCTACCATAGCTGTGCTGATGCTGAATTAAAAGACTGATTTGATGCTGAAAGCATGTGCTGTTGTCTGGTCCCGCGCACATGAAGGCATTGCTGGAGCAGGTTTTTCCTGGCAGTTCCCCATGACTAACCCAGTGAGAAGCAGAAGCTTTGTAGGCTCATTTTGCCCTTGCAGGATAAGAGATCTCAGAAAATTGCTGGGGCAAGTTATAATGCAAGAAAGAAATTGGCTGTTGTACAGTTTTTTTGTAGTGGTTCAGTCCAGCATGTCTATGCACATGCTGAAATAAAGAGGACAACATAAAGAGTAACCCAAAATTAAGAAGAGGGGAAAAAAACCCAAGGATATTTAACTTGAAAAGAAGTAGAATATCCTGGGCGGATTCCAAATGCAGTGTTTCTTACCATGTCCCTGCTGCCATCAACCCCATAAGGCTGCTTAAACTCAGGAATATTATCCAGAGCAATCACAACGTCCTCTCAGTGTCAAGAATCAGTTGCAAGTTCTCAGGATAGTGCTGGCACGAAGTAAAAATCTCTGAGGAGATAACATTTTTAGCCTTAGTATCAAAGCTGTTTAAGAAGGCAACAGCCCAGCCCAGATTGAGTTGGTTTGGTGGTTTTTTGCTTTATTTTTTTTAAATTAAAATGTTATACTCTCATGGTTGAAGTAAATACAGACACCCTAGACATCTAGTTTCAAATTATATACTGTGGATATATCTCGTATTCAGATCTTTTATATTAAAAATGGTTGCACTGATCCAGACTGTCAGGTTTTAGCTCTGCTGAGGTGATGCAATTTGAGAGAAGCAACTTGATTAAATGCTCATTAAGAGTATTTGCAATGAAAGTGCTGCAACAGCTGTACCTGGGCACGTGTAACGGAGGGTGAATCACAAACAGCTCGGCACAGTTTGGGTCACCACCCAAGCTTTCAGCCTTAGCAAAATATAAGTCTTAAATAAACCAGGCTTTTCTAAAAGGCTTCTTAGGGCTGTTGTTCACCTTGGAAACACCAGCGGAGGGGATGGATTGCAGTAATTAAGACAATCATATTTCACAGGCTTGTAGTAAATGTGTAGCTCTCCCACCTTGTGATTTAGGTTAAAATTTGTAAAGGAGACTTATGGGCTAAGAGTAATTTCACTTTTACAGCCGTTTATTTCAGTGTTCCTTTTTTTTTCTTTTCTTCTCCATCTAGTGTATCCATCGAGACTTGGCTGCAAGAAATGTTTTGGTAACTGAAAATAATGTCATGAAAATAGCAGACTTTGGTTTAGCCAGAGACATCAACAATATAGATTATTATAAAAAGACTACTAATGTAAGTGGATGGTTTTCTTTTCTCTGAAAACAAGTATTTCTTGTAATGATTCACTTCAAAACTATGGAGTTAAACTTAATGGGTTCCTTGTACAGCAGCCTCACTTCATCGCAGACAGAAAACAGGGGTAAAGGACATAAGCATTTCTGTCCCCTCTTACAGTGACAGTTAGTTAAGAAGGTAACCAAAGAGGCTGTATATTTTCTGATTTATTAGAAATGCTAAAATACAAGAATTGTTTTCTGTGTGTCCCTGAATATACTGAAATACTGAAAGTATTCCTGTTGATTCCAGCCCTAGGATCTTGAAAAACACTGTATAAACAGAGCTAGCAAATAACCACAATAAAAATCCTGGTTATGTGTGGTAACACCACATACAGCTCTGTGCCTTCTGCCTCTACTTGGCTTGTTCTGTGCAAGTTATGGCGGTAGTTTCAAAGTGGGGCTAAAGGTTGAGAAAATGGATTTTTACTCCCTGCTCTGTCACCGTGTTTCTGTTTAACCTGCACCAAATCAAGAAGATAAAACGTTTCAGATGGAGTTACTGATGCCTGGCTTGAACAGCTTACACTTACACCTCCTCCTTGGGCTGTCTCTTCAGATCCTGATGAACTATACTGGGGTTTTGATGGGAACTTTGCAGAGCTCATTCAGTTCTGCAGAATTTAATATTTTGTGTAAATATTAATTATTGATAACTATCATGTTAAGTGGCTTATCTAGGAAAATAGAGCACTAAGTGATTAATGGCATTTTAATGGAAATATTGCAGAAGATGGAGTAACCAGTTACAGGTCCATCAGTACTGGAGGGAATTGAACCATCAAAAGTTCTGCCATTCCTGGGCTCTGAGCAGTCCAGACCTTGTGTGCAAAGCAACCAGCAGTTGTGACACTGAGTTTTGGGTCACTGCGAAAGGTGGAACAGGAAAACAAATTCTTGGGTTTAGCTATCAGCTTATTTTTGCAGGCAGGTCTATTTTTAAGGTGATTATTGATTGGAGATTTTTTGCTTTAAAGAGCTGTAGTGGAATGATCTTTTTGATTTTGATCTGCTTATCTTATCATTCTCTTCACAAGCAGTCTGGGAACTTTTGGGGGACCATCAATGCTTTTAATTTTATCCTCAATCTTTTTATCCATTCCTCTTAATGGCTTCCCTACTTTGACTCATTATCTTTTTCCCAAAAAACTTTAAAGGTAGATTTTGTGCTGGTTTACATTAGCAGGCTGTTTTCTGAGAATCATTTAGTACTTTTAAAAAAACTGGTGTTGAAATCATCCTGTAAATTGCTACCATTTTGATTTTCCTTCCTTTCCCCTCCAAAATTCCAGGGACGGCTTCCAGTAAAGTGGATGGCTCCAGAAGCTCTGTTTGACAGAGTTTACACGCACCAAAGTGATGTGTAAGTGGCCTTACTTGAATGGGGGTTTTTTGGAGGGTGGGAAGGAAGGTTGTTTTGGTTGGTATTTGTTAAAGTTTGGGATATTTTAAATGTGTTTTTCTGTTGTCCTTTACCTTTAAGTGTTTTCATTTTGTTTCACGTATTAATAGATGGAACAGGACTTGCCCTTAGAAAGTGAGGATTTTATGGTAGACTGCTAACCAGTGCTCTGTTACTAATCTGCCCAGCTTCAAAGCACATGAAAGGTGGAAAATGCTAACCTCCTTCTGTCAGTGCGGAAGTTTCCCCCCTTGAACTTATTTACGGATGTGCAGCTACAAAGAGTCTATCTAATTTGCTTGGCTTTTGACATACTCTGGACTTCCTTCAAGTTTTGTTTTGTTTTTTTTTTAAAGAAAAAGAAAGGGAAAGAGAAAAGAGAGAAAGAAAATAAAGTTCCTGAAAACTGCTTCTAAAAATTTGTGCTAAGATTAGGTATGATAAAGCATAGAATGGGTATACTGGAAAAGTTTTCTCTGATTTTTAGCAGCGTTATGGCTTCCCAGCAGTACTTCACATGTAGTAGGAAATCATTGGACTCTGACACTTCAAAATCTTTTAATGTGTGCGCAGAGTTGCTGGCTGATGCAACCGCTCAGGATTTATTCTGCTTCCTATTACAGTTTCCTAGACCCATCTACGGTGCTCGCGTGCGTTCTGTTTGAAGAAGACATGTATTTTTTATGCAGTGCAGATGAATTGCTTATGGTTTTTATTTCTCCAAGAGAAGCTGTTAACTGTAAAGGGCTGGATGCTTCCCAGCGCAGGTGTAAAAGGTTATGTTTGTCAGTGCAGGGTTAAAAAGAAAAAGGGCAGGGTGGAGAAAATAAGAGGTGTCTCATTCTATACCCTGGGTGCGCTTCCTGAGCCGCTCTCTCCTTAAGAAAAGCATTTGCTGAGGCTTTTCCTGCAATCTTTACGTTATTTACAAAGGAAGTTATATACACAGGTTAAGGATGGATTAAAATTTTATTTTAAAATAACATCTTGGCAAACATTTAAGTGAACGTGAAGTAAACTACTCCACTGGTTCAGGACTGGAAGTCAGGCCAAGCTCCTCAGCAGCCACGGAGCACCGAGGGTTTCAGTGCTGGACCTTGGAGGCCCTCGGCCCCGTGGTGGCTTTGGAGATGGCTAAAGATAATATTATTGTAAGTTTGTGCAAACAGTTTACTAAAATGCATTGCTGCATGGCCAAGAGAGCTGCAGAGAGGCTCAGAAGCCAGGGCAAGCTGTGTGCTGTTGCTCACCTGGCAATGCCGCCTGCCAAAGAGCCCTGGGTTGCCAACAAGGCGTGATGAGGTAGGCTCTGGAGGAGGTGACAAGCAGGCAGGAAAGCTGGCTTAAAACTATCCTCCTTCACTTCGTAGCAAAAATTAATAAAAATATAAAAAAAAAAAAGAAAGAGCAGAATGATGCAAAATATTTTTGTTTTGAACAGTCTGTTTTTCCCAAAATATTCCGCCACATAATTGCAATCAGCTTGGCTGTGAGTGTTCTGTAAATAATCAAGCTGTGAAGATGCAGTTCTTTGCAGTAGCCCTGGAAACTTGGGTGCTCAGAGCACCTCAGACAAAGTCAAAGGGTGTGTTTGAGAACATGTTGAGGTCTGTCCCTATTCCATATGCTGCCCGTGCACCTGATGGACTTCATAGATTGATCTCCCACTCAGGGCGGTTGGAGTTGGGCAGATACTGGTTTAATCATCTCCTAAGATCATAGAATCATAGAATGGTTTGGGTTGGAAGGGACCTTAAAGATCATCAAGTTCCAACCCCCTGCCCTGGGCAGGGACACCTCCCACCAGACCAGGTTGCTCCAAGCCCCATCCAGCCTGGCCTTGAACCCCTCCAGGGATGGGGCAGCCACAACTTCTCTGGACAACCTGGGCCAGGCTCTCACCATTCTCACAGGAAAGAATTTCTTCCTGAGATCTCATCTAAATCTCCCTTCTTTCATTTTAAAACCATCCCCCCTCATCCCATCGCTCTACTCTCCGATCAAGAGTCCCTCCTAAATCTCCCTTCTTTCATTTTAAAACCATTCCCCTCATCCCATTGTTCTACTCCCTGATCAGGAGTCCCTCGCCATCTCCTGTAGACCCCCTTCAGATGGATTTGCAACTGTTGCTGCAGACATGTCTCTTTCTTTTTTGGTAATAAGACAGATCTTCTAATGGCTCTTTCTCCTTGATTCGTAGTTGGTCATTTGGTGTGTTAATGTGGGAGATCTTCACGTTAGGAGGATCGCCTTACCCAGGAATCCCAGTGGAGGAACTTTTTAAGCTGCTTAAAGAAGGGCACCGAATGGATAAACCTGCCAACTGCACCAATGAGCTGTAAGGACCCTTACTTGTTGTACCAGGGTGGAAGGGCACAAACTGTACTGCATTCGTGTGGATAATGCTTCCCCTGAGAGAATCAAACATTTTCAGAATTGCTTGACTCTAAAAATTTTGCATAAATGTGTGCGTATAGATATGTAAAGAAAGGGTGTGAAAACATCTTCAGGAAATGTTTGACAGAGAGTACTTCTCTACACTCCCTGGTGTGATCCCATTGAAAAAAGAAAAGATCATCTTCAAGCCAGTCTTGGTCAGAGTTTTTACACCCATATTTGCTTAATTTCATTAACATGAAAATTCCTAAATGGCAAATACACCACTAATCATGTGTATGCTACATCAGGCTGGTTTTGTACACAATAAAACACATCTGGGAACTTCTGCATTAGCACAGCACTATCTCCTGGTGATGAGGGGAGAGCGTTTTCCCTTTCTGATATTTCTGTTTAATCCTGACACATCTGGGAACTTCTGCATTAGCACAGCACTATCTCCTGGTGATGAGGGGAGAGCGTTTTCCCTTTTGATATTTCTGTTTAATTATTTTTAATTTTTTTCCCCATTTTAATTTCTTCACGAAGACTGCAATCCATAACATGCAAAAATATTTAGTATTTTATGATGTTTTTAATACCTTCTGGGGCAGAATTCCCCATTTTAATTTCTTCACAAAGACTGCAATCCATAAGATGCAAAAATATTTAGTATTTTATGATGTTTTCAATACCTTCTGGGACAGGCGGCTACAGAATTGGGTCCACAAAAAGGTAATTTAGACATTGAGCAAGAGAGATGCAGGAGTAGAAATGCACCTTTGAGGGTAGTAGTGCAGAATTTGGGTAAAGTCAGTGGTGCATGTGTAGGGCTGTGGGTGCTCACTGCTTTCCTTGTGATGAAGAACATTGAGTACGTATGAAAAGGACGCGTGATTTTAATTAAGCCAAGAAAATGTGCATTTCTTACAGCTATATGATGATGAGAGATTGCTGGCATGCTGTGCCTTCACAGAGACCGACTTTTAAACAGTTGGTAGAAGACTTGGATCGGATTCTCACTCTCACAACTAATGAGGTAGGTAAATTGTTACCCTCCATAAGCTGCTGATCTGGACAACTGGTTCAGGAGACAGATGGAATTTATTCAATTATGAAATCCTGCTCAAGTTCTCTTCTTGTTCTGTTTGTCGTTGTCCTCTGAGGTTACACGCAGCTAAACTATGTATCCTATGAAATCCTTGGTTTCTTGCCATTTATGTAACTAAACAGAAACACATCTTTAAAGTGTTTTTGTTTATTTCTCATTGCATCTTTTGATGTTTTTAGCATAGCAGTATCGAGTACACGTGGCAGGTCGAGAGGCAGTGTTTATGTTTCAACACGAATCTCGTGTGAGGGAGAGATTCATGGTGTTTTTCATTTATGAACTCAGTTTGATTCCCAGCCATGATATCTAGGTCAGAAGAGGAGAAATCGTCAATGGTAGATTTCAGAATATATGTCTGAGAGTGAATTAGGTTCAGTGAAATAGCTCTCTGTGGAGAGAACGAGGACCCACGGGGAACATGCAAACAGCCATCCAATTATCCAAAGGTCCTGCCTAACACTGCTTCAGGTTGGCATATTTGAATGGAAAAGGTTTTCTTTGAAGTGCATTCTTTTAGAGGCCCGAGATATTATTAGTTTCAGCAAGGAACACGCTGATTAGGGTATTCACACAGGGATCGGTTCTCTTATCACTGAATCACATGCACCTTTGATGAAGATCACAGGTGAGGGAAATGTTGATTCTTTTGGTGGAAACTTCTTTTGAGAGAAAATGCTTGGTTGTTACAGAAACATTTTACAAGTTCTTGTAATTTCTGAGATATTACATGTAAAATGGAAGAGGGAAAAAAAAAAAGAACAAAACCCTTAGAAAGGAAAGTTGCAACAACTTGTTTTGACCATTTAAAAATATGTTTTTCGGATTTTTCTATAATTATAGCACTTGTTGATATGTGGGGGAGAGGTAGAAAAAAATGATTTGGATCGCTTTATATTGGTGCTCAACATTACTTTGTAAATTTTAAGAATTGTTGGAGAAATAAAAAATGGATTATTAAGCAGCATTAGGAAAGGCTGCATGCAATAGAAGAGACAGGAGAACCTGAGTAAAGAATTGCCATTTTTTATGATCATTATCAATAGAGCCAGTTGAAAAAGATTCTTTGGCTTCAGTAGCAATTATAAATTTATTTGGATTCTGGTTGTAAGGTTTACTCTAAAAAAAAATGGTACCTTTGAAGGTGGGGCAGGAATCTGTGCTCCCTACAGAGTCGGTGTCACAGCTCTGCATACTGTTACCTTTTTCCCCTCATCCAATCCTGACTGCATCTTTTCCTGCCTAATTTATATATGATTTCACAAGAGCAGTTGGAGGTGGGCTGGCTGCCATTGTAGAGTGCTGGGTGGCTTGGACTGGATATGCCTTTGCAAACTGAAGAGGGAGGTGTTCTGGGCTTGTGTGTGTGTGTGTGCGTGTGTGTAACCATCTTGCCTTCCCCATTCTGTACTGCTCATGGACCTGGAATGAGTTCAAAGGTAACCTGAAAAGGCCTTTAAGGTTATGTAAATTACTTTAGACTAGAATCATAGGAAAAACGGCTGGAAAAAGCTCAGGAACACATCCAGTCCATCTGATGGGCCTGTGGCAGGACACACTATACGTTTGTCATTCCTGACACATGTTTATGTAATTTGTCCTTAAAGATCTCCACTGCTGTGTTTCTGCATCGCCCCTTGACAGTCCATTGCTTTGTTTCATTAGCCCGACTTCTGGAAAGATTTCCCTAATCTCTCTAATCTTTCAACATAAGATAATGCTTTTGTCCTATTTACCCTGGACAAAGAAAGGAAATTATTTCACTTGTCTTTGCGGCGTATCTTATGTTCCTGAAAACTCCTCGTGTTCTTGCTCAGTGTCTGCTGAGAACTCCAGTGTGTCTCATTTTCCTCCATATATTTGGAGACCTCTGATTTTGTGCAATCTGCCCAGTTTTCCCACAGTGCAGGCCCTTTGGGCATCAGTGTGTCAATACTTCTGCTTATCCTTTCCACAGTGGCCCTTTCCCTTTTCCCCCAGACAGGGTGAGCTTGATTCACCCAACAACTCAAAAAATTGCTAGGGCAGTCAATAATATCATCCTCTGCACTTGTGCAAGTAATTATTTCTGGTTAAATGGTCGTGTCTTGCTCCTCTCCGTGTTGAATCGTCACCTGTTGGGGTTTTTTTAGTGGTGTTTTGCATTTTGAGGGTTTTTTTTGAAGTTTTTTCCCTCCAAAGGCCCTATTTCCCCAGTTTCCCAGAGCAACGTACAATGATTCCCTGCTCCACGTGAGCAGAAGTCACCAAGAGTCAGCCTCATCTCCGTGTCATTATATCAGGAACCATCCTGACACTGGAAACTTCTTCTGCCTCTTTCTGTGTCTCTGGCCCTTGACATGGGATCAGGAGGCTGGAGAAGGTATAAGGATCCCACCTTGATTAAGGAATTCAGAACTGAATTTTATCAAGCCTTTTATATGACGAGCCGTGTCTGATACCCCACAAGAAAGCCCTGTTTCTTCAAATACTGGACTGCTTTCCTCTTCTGTCTGCCTAGAAAGTGGTTGATTATTTCTGGTCACGTAGGACTGGTTTGCTTATATATAAATAAGGGTGAAGATTGTCCTCATGGATCTTTTAAAAGCCTGGGCAGCGAGATAGGCAGTCATCATAGATCCAAACTGCCTTCTCCTGCTCCCTACGGTATTTGTTGGCATTTTAAAACTTACCTTTTCCCCCGTCTCTTTTAAAATGGTGACCATTTTTTAACTATAATATGGTAATGATTGAATTTCTGACTTTAAAAAAATATGTTAACCAAAGAACTAAATCGCCCCAAACCCAAGCACAGCAGCATAAAATACTGACTGAGGTGGAAGACTTGTCTCGTCAGTACGATCATAACTTGTGGTTTAGCAAATGAAGAGATTGCATTTAAATGAATGCAGCTGCCTTTAGAAGTTGAAAGAGAAGGAACATTTCAAGGGGAAAAATAACTTTATTCTCCTGCCAAAACTGTTGTTTCTAGCAAAAGAGCCTTAACCCAAAACTTGGATTCAGCAGATATTATTTCCTTTTTTAATGACTGCTTTGGTTATGGCTACTCTGGGACACACAGGCACACACACACACATGAATATGTAGTGTAAAAACCCAAATCTAGTGAATTTCATATTGTTTTCCTTTCAGTTCTCTTTTTGCATGTATGCCACTGCATGTTTAAACACAAACTTAATATCACAGAATATAAAACAGATATTCAAAGTGACCAAAGGAATATAAAGTTGGAAGTATCTTTCCCTCTCCAAATCATTACCATGTGCTAAAGAAAAATGGTTCTATTTAGGATGAAATTTCATTTTTATCATTGCGAGTGAAAAGTCCTCTTTTGATGTGGTTGGCATGTTTATTTCCACTGACGCGGCGAATGCTGGTGATGTTGGACGTCAGAAAAGTACCGTGTTATTGCTTTGGTTTTTCTTTCTCTATTTAAGCTTCTTGTTTTATGAGATGTTTACGCAACAGGCAGTTTTTAGTGCAATTGTGTTACAGGAATGAGTGTCATTTTTAAAATGCTCTTTTACCCACGATACAATCAAGCCAAATCAGAGCAGTGGTAAGGTGTTATTGTCAGTTTTACTCACTGTCTAAAAAGTCAATTTATTTTCTTTTTCATAGGAGTATCTGGACCTCAGTGGGCCTCTGGAACAGTATTCACCTAGTTACCCTGACACCAGGAGTTCGTGTTCTTCAGGTGATGACTCTGTTTTTTCTCCCGATCCAATGCCTTATGAACCTTGTCTTCCCAAGTACCAACACATGAATGGAAGTGTTAAAACATGAAAAGAAATCATGCAGATCATGCAGATGGATAAAGAAACAAAAACATCAAGCTACCTACCATATACAAAACAAAATCTTTTCTCCAGGACCTTAATGTTTCTGCTTGTACATATGAAATACGGAGGAAATAAGAAGAAAAAGGAAAAAAAAAAAAAAAAAAGAAAACTTGGAGGAAAGCAGTCATCAAGAATCTCATAATTTGCAATTTCTAAATATTCCCAACAAAGAAGAATGTTTATGAGCTGTGTCTAGATGCCCACTGCGATCAATTTTCTGGCTTCCTGTGAGCTGCAACAGACTTTGTTTGTACAATGGACCAGTTGGACTTGAGGCAAACTCTGGGTCTGCCTTTCTTGTTTATTTTGTAATATTTGGAGAAAATATATGTTGGCACACACTTACGGAGCACAAGTGCGATATATAGGTGCTGGATGTATGTAAATATATTCAAAATATGTATAAATATATATTATATATATTTACAATGAATTATTTTTTGTATTGATTTAAAAATGGATGTCCCAATCCACCTAGCAAATTAGTCTCTTTTTTAACAGCTATTTGCTAAATGCTGTTCTTACACAGAATTTCTTAATTTTCACCATCCAAAGGTGGAAAATACTTTGCTTTCAGGGAAAATGGTATATCATTAATTTATTAACTAATTGGTAATGTACAAAACAGTTAATCGTTTATAGGGTTGTTGTGTTTTTGTAATTTAAATGGCATTTCTATGCAGGCAGCACAGAGAACTAGTAGATATATTGCGCAGACTTTACTAGTTTTCAGATCTTTAAAAAGAAGAAATATTTACAGTATATAACTAATTTGGGGGAATTAAACTTTTGATTTATTTGTGTTAAAAACTGCAGTGTCAGATGATTATTCTTATCAAAACTGAATCCTTTAACGAGAAAGTCTTTTATTCTCAATAGCTGTCATTTTAACAATTTAACTCTTCAGCAGTGTTTCCCATGGCCAAAAAGCAGAATCATTCCATTTACAAAAAGAGAAAGGAGAAAAAAAGAAAAAAAGAAAAAAAGAAAAAAAAACATATTAAAGAAGGTTCCTAAAGTAAGGAAAGACATTACTTTGTCTATAACCATAGCAGAACGTACTGCTCTAAAAGGAGCTGAGCTTCTAGCCTGAGTTGCACATGCATCAAATTAAGTACAATTCTCTTCCCTGAGCTGGATAATAGATTCCAGATCTTTTGGCCTAGATTTTTTGCCTTTTAGACTATTCCTCTATTGTAACTTAAGTTAAAAAGAGAGAAGTTGTTTATAATGACAATTTGCCATAGGAATATCAGCATCTTTTTAAAGGATTAATTCATGCTGACTCCAGTATTTCCTTCTAATCCATTCCATAACAGTAGGTATAGCACTGGCCTCTGCTAAAATATCACTGTTGTTTGTACCTTTGTACGGAAGTCTTGTGTTTTTACTTTCAGAACACTCACACTGATATGGCCATGCAATATGAATGCAAATTACACTGTTTTATGTGGTGGTGTTTTTGTTTTGTTTTGTTTTGTTTTTTTAATTGGGTAAAAGAAGTATTGAAATCTGTTAACTTTTGTACTGACAATAAAATGTTTCTACAGATATTAATGTTAAAATTACAAAATAAATGTCATGCAGCTTATTTTTCCTAATCCTTTGTGTCATACAAAATGGTTTCCTGAACATCAAGTGATGGAACACGTCCAGAAATGCTTCCTTTTGACCTTATCATAGATCCTATATTACAAAGCAATTCTTTCAGGAATTATACTTATGCCTCTGTCTTATAAAATGTCTGCTCATGAATAACATGGGTTATTTGAGTAAACATACGTACAATCTTTGGTGTTTGTAGAGTGGGGCACTATTTGCTGGAAAATGGTTTGAAGTGTTCACAGTGTAGGCATAAAATATACTCTTTTATTTAGTGAGGCTGTATCCTTTAATTAGTGAGGTTTCTCATTCATACTGGGGAGGCTGGAGAACCATTTGTATAGGAGATTTTAAAAAAATCATAACAAATGGAAAGAGAGTCAATATGTTAAGAGAATAAAAGTCTTCCTTTTTTTTTTTTTTTTTTTTTTAACTTGCAAACTGAAGGAAGACACACCAAAACAGCTAGTGCTTGAGACAAAAATGGGAACTTTATGGTCACATTACTGTTGCAGGTCAGCAGGAAAAGGATTCTTGAATCCGGTCTTCACCAAATGCTGTAAAAGTGCTGCAGACACCAAACTATTCTTTTGGTTTCTTTCCATCTCTTTCTACTTTGACCAGAAATCCCGTACCAATCCCCAGAAACTTTCTAAAAAAGTGCCTGTTAAAAACTGGTGTTTTCCAACTAAGAGTTATCTGTTTGAAAAATTCCCACTGGCTATACCAAAAAATAACAATTCCCTTTCCCCACGACATCTATTACTATTAGCAGCAATGGTAGCTACTGTCTGACAGAAACCACAATATTCTTAATTACACGTCTGGTTTTTAGATTCTCTTAAGGGGTATTGGAAGATCTTGAAACTTGCTCAGCTTGTATTGAACTTAAAAGCATCTACTTTGATATCTTTTTAAAATCAAAGTACATAAATGATTAGAAATGCGATGGAAAACTACTAAATAATGTAAACTTATTTGGTTAACTTTTTGTTTTAAATAGTTTATTTGCTTTTCCTTTGTTCATTTTTATTTTAGTTCTCAATGATTTAGATTGGCACTTTGGAGATGAGATTAGACTGCAATTTCACAAATTCGGTTTCTGGGGAGAGGCAGACCATCCTCCGTGTGTGGAGTTGCAAGAGGAAATTAGCAGAAAACAAACCCCAGCATTGAAATTTGTCTGAAGGGCCGTATTCTTTATTGCCCTGCCTACCTTTGGCTCCTTCATGAGAAGAAGGGGTTAGGAATTTGGATTGCTATCTATCTATCTCATCTAAAAATAATGTTGCCATTAATAACAGGAGCAATAATGAAGAGTAGCATTATGTCAGGAAATGAATTTATATTGATGTGGATAATGAGGATTAAGTTCTGTTTATAATCAGTTTCCTGCAGCATCTAATTATTTCTTGTCTCTTGTTTAAGTATTGATTCAAATCAGCTCTGTGTAATATATGAGAAAATATGGATATAGAACCCAAATTTATTATGGCTCAAGTCCATAAAGAAGTTAATGTTGTCTGTTTATGTTTAGTTTCAGTTTTTTACTGTAATGTAACAAGTAGCGTGTGCTCTATACATCAGAGAAGAGGAGAGATCTATTCTGTCACTGTGCCTGTTGGTTTGATACCATTCAGTATCTGATTTGTTTTGCTTTTACAAAAGCAAGAGTTGAACTGTGTTCTGAGTTTCAAATTTGTTACAAGTCAAGTAAGTATGGTTTTATCTCTGGAAGTAAAATGAGCAAATCTTTGTAGAAAATCTAGTAATTTTCATGCCTTTGAAAGTATATTGAAAAAAAAACACTAAAAAACCCCTGCAGTCTGGAGACAACCTTTTTAATGAAAGATTCAGTGATCTCAATGCAATTAATTAATCCAAGAAAGGTTGAGAGTTGTCTTGATCAGGGTATATAAACTGCTCTTAGAATAAAATACTTTTTAGTAATAAAGGTCTCTGCCATAAAAGCTCCAGATCCAGTGCCTGAAAGGTGGAGCAAGACTCACACTGGCTAGGTGGACAGCCATGCCTTTCAGGTGGTGGTAGTAACCAGTAGTAGGAGCAGCATAATGATGGGTGCTATTGACCTTCCCCAGTTGGAGTGAACGTGAGCTCCTGTGACTCATTTCCTTGTGTCCTCAACATCTGTGATGGGAAAGCTTGTGTCATGCAGATACTGAAGAACAAGTTGTAGAGACTTTCTGTAGTCCAGGAAATTTCAAGTGTGTGCAGAGAGTGACTGCTCGAATCAGTGTCTGATGGTTATTGTTAATGGAAGGTAAAGAACCGTTTAGAAGTCCTTTAGCAAATCTTTCAGAAACCTTCATATGCTTTAGTTTCATTGGGATTTTTTTAAGTAGCCTAATGTACTTAAGAGAAAAATTGAGGCAAAAAGCTTGCTATTCACAGAAGAGAAAAAAGAGACAGAAAGGGAGAAAAGAAAAGCCAAGCAACGCCTGTTTTTGAAAGGTCATCTGTCCATTCTGTAATCAGGAAGTTCTGCATCTCCATAATTTGATCTAATTATTAGAAAAATATTTCATTGATTTTTCCACGGTAAATGTAGTAAGTTTGTTTTGATGAAGCATAAGCTACTTCCAACAATTTGTGTGGACAGAAACACTGTTGGTCCTTTTACACCTGTAAATACCTCTGTGTACTTCTGAGCTTTTGTCACCGTGAGTCCTGAATGTTGCAAGCAGCTTAAATGCAATAGATTCTGTGGAGCAAGTTATCTTTTTTATCCCCTTTTACCTAGGCAAAACTCCCATTAACCAGATTTTCCATGAAAGTCCTAAAGGGGAGAGAAGAAGGAAGCAGTCATTCTCTTCACAAGAATGCACAGAGACAGAAAAAGGAGCAAGAGGCCCCAGTTGCTCCAGGGTATTTCTGTCTGGATTTTAGAAACAATTTTTTCACTGTGAGACCACTTGGACACTGGGCTAAGATGCCCAGAGAAGCAGCGGAATCTTCCTGGCCGTAGATATTCAAGACTTGGCTTGACAGGGACCATGGATAACCTAATCTCAGGCCCTGCTTTCAGCAAAAGGTTGGCCAAGATGATCTTCTGGGTCCCTTCCAGCTGAAACTTTTCTGTGATTTTGCAAATCTGCATTATTGGCCAAAGGTAACCCAGGTCTGCAGAGGAGTTCTGGAAAGCTGCACTGGCTCGTGCTGAGGTTGTCAGTGGGATGTATTGTTCGGTAAAATCAATTTAGTGATGCATTTAACAAGAGAGAGATCCCTCTCTATTAAGGCATCTGGATTTTAAAAGTCGGGTCCTGGCTGTTGATTATCAGAGCCAGCCAAAAATTTTCTGATTGAATTCCTATGCAGTGGAAAACACTGTTTCGTCAGAAGCTTTCTGAAGTATGAGAGTCTTGCAGAAGAT